TTGCTTTTAAAAACGATGTCCAATAAACATGCTGAGGAAATTTCGCAATTGAAGGCAAATTATGACGATATGGCCAAGAAGCATGAAGACATGGTTAATGCAAAACAATCGGCCGTTGATGAAATGAACAAAATGTCAGCTCAACATGAGTCATCGCTAAAATCCATGTCGGATAAACACGTGGCAGAAATTTCGACATTGAAGGCAAAACTTACTGAGATGTTGGACGCAAAGCAATTGTACGACGAAAAGCTTACGCAGATGTCTTCAGAACAAAACGTTTTTCTAAAAATGCAATCGGATGAAAATTCACAGAATAAGAGCAATTTGGACAAGTCAGTTGAGCAATGCACTCCGGAATCGAGCAAAAAATCACATGAGCCAAGTATACAACATGAAAAGGAAATGGAAGAAGAGAACGACAAGAAACATTTGAAACGGAAGCTCGTACGTACACCACTAAAATTAGTGGAACAGCCAGCAGTTAAAAGAAATCGAACACCCAGAACTACAACTGGTCAAAAAAAATGTCAGGACCTTTATGAAGTGGAACGCTTGTTGGCACACAAAACTGAAAACGACCAAATGTTGTTTTTAGTTCGATGGAAAGGTTTTGAAAAGAAAGATGATTTGTGGTTGTTAGAACGTGACCTATTTTGCCCAGATATTCTCAGAGAATATAAAAAAAATAATAAATTAGTTTGAAGGAAGAGAATATAAAGACACACAATGATTCAGATCAAATGAAATTACATTTACCCAATTTAGATAGAATCACACACACATTCATATATATTATATATATTTAAAAGAAAAAAAAATCTGAAATAAGCATAACGATACGTAAATATAAGACAGAGAAACAGTTAAATTTCAACCGAACAGCTTAAAATTTACACAACATTCATTTGAACAAAAATAACATAGATACAAAGAAAACGCCAAAATTCGTTTTTAAATGGAATTTTTTTTAGAGTTGTTACGTTTAAGATGCAATATGAAATATATGCATTGGAATTCATTTTTTTTGTCCACAAAGAGAAATGATATTAGGTGTGGCAAAAGATGATGTTAGTCGAAATCTAGATTTTAAATTTAAAAAAAAAAAACGGTATCCATAGATGAATTAAAACGACATGTTCACAAGCACACATAAGTGTAAATTATAACACAATTAAGTACGATCGGGAACATCATGAATAAAGTTACTCAAAAACTTAGAAGTTAATGAAAAGTTTTTACCAAATTCATAGGCAATTATTATTTTATAACAGACAAGTAAAGATGAAGAAAAAAACAATGAAAATGAAGCAAAATGAGGTGATATTAATTAGAGATATTGTTAAAATTAATATATTAACCCAAAAAAATGAAGCAAAAAAACTCAAACAAATAAAAACAAATCATTTCAATAAAACCATAGGCTTAACTTGCTATAGCAAGCTGATGATGAATAAGAAGAATATGTATCGACATTCAAAATGCCAATTATCCAAAGTGTTTAAACATGAATAAAGTCAGGCTAAATTTAATGACTAATGATACGAAATGTAATCTTAACACTCTAGTGCATAGCACCGTCTCTAGGCGGAGTATAAAATTCATTGTGAATAAATTGTATTCTGTACGGCATTAGAATTGAAACAGAGGGTTAATCTAAGAGGAATTTTTACCATTGTAATTCACATTTCATTTATCGTATTTTTGTTTTTTATTTTAATTTTTAAAATCGAAATCGGATGGACTTTGGTCTAATTGTTTTTAAATTTTAATATATATAGTATAGTTATTTGATTGATTCAAGTTCTAACCATCATCATAAATATATTTCTTCTTCTTGCCACTAACACTTAAAGTGTTTGGAACTGTATAACATTAATACATCATTTTAGTTCAAATCATAAATAAAACGCTCAACGAATTAATAAGATTATGATCAAATATATATTTTTGGACTTTAATGGATTTTTAAATGAATTATAATTACTTCATGACATATGAAATGAAAGTAACAACTTTTTTAAAGATCTATCTTTCTTCAAAAAATATGCAAAATAATCTAAACTTACGTCAAAATTAATTTTCAAAGTCAATAATAAATCAGTACCGTTGAAGAACGTTTTTTCAAACGTTCGTTTTAACACATGAATACTTAAGGTTTTTCTATGGCACTATTGCACTTCAATAAAACTCATTCAAATCATTCTCAATATTCAAAATAAATTATCTCAAAAAATAAAAAACTAAGTTCTTAGTGTTGAATATCATTAGTTGTACTGCAAGCATTAGCAGTTTATACATCACATTTCATTTTTTTAAATTTGTGTTGAATCATAGAAATTATGCTTTTGCGAAAACTACATCTAATTTGTTGTTTTGAACTTTCTCGAGATCAATAAATATTAATGGTATTTATGTTAATGCAACAAAAATTATAATACGCTGGACAGTTTTTCGAAAACGTTTTTCATATTGGCAGTGCTCTGCTTTCCTTTTTCCAATTTATAGATTAAGCGTTGCATGAAAACAATCATATTTTCCAAGGCCTTATCAAACTTCATATGAAAAACGTGATGAAGTTTAAAAAAGATGTCAAAGGTTTCCAAAATTCCGAACTCAAATGGTAGCTAAGGAGAAATAGGTTTTTGGAAAGGATTAATTTTGAAAATGATATGTTGAACATGAATTTCAATTATATACATATAACTTATGCGAAACAAATGACACGAAAGAAAAAAAAGTCATTATATATTATTATCAGCTGAAGACTGATGTAGTTAGTTAGTGCTATGTTTCGGGACACTCGATCTTCATCATCGTGTGCAATTATTTACTGCAAAATATAAAGCAATGCATTTGATGGTTTTGTTCGTCAAATTAAAATTGGACTATTTTCAATGATGATGATGCAAGTCCCCTAAACTTTGCAACATTAAGAAAATTTCATCAACGTTCAATTCATAAACAAAAGTTTTTTTTTCTTTTCGTATTATTGTTCTATAAACGCTATGGCTAAATGCCAATAATCACCGGAAACAAATGACGTTCGGTTTCAATATAATATGAAACAATATCCTTCTTCGAAGTTCCACATGCCACAATATATGGATGGTTGTTGTCGTTTTCAATCATATTTTCTGGCGGAGTTCCTACCTATAATTTTATTTAAAGAAAAATCTTATGGTTAATTTTATTCTTAACGGTTAATGCATGGAAGTCTTACAACGCGAAAAACAATCAATTTATTTATTGCATCTATCAATGGTAATTGACACGATCGAGATGGGAAAATATGCAAAAGAAGCAACAAACATTCTATTTCCGAATGCCAACCGTGGTCAACCTGTCCACCGAACAATTGTTTTATATTTGAGATATAAGTCGGCCACTTTTCTATTAAACCATTACATTCACATTCGAACTCGGGATTTCTTTCAAATTCAATTTGAATCTGTAAATTGATATTTCGAAGACTTATACAATTAATATTTTAGCGTTAAATAATGTCGAATTAACTTGCCAATTTTGGGTCAGTAAAGAAATACGGAAAAGATTCGCGCAAGTCAACATCCTGGTTCATCATCATATTTTTACGGAGATCTCTTGTTGTATTCAGTTTCGAAATAATAATGGAAACGTCAGTGTTTTTGATTACACAGTTTTTCAAGAAGAGAAGATCTTCTTCGGGCGTTGTTTCAATATCACTTTGTTGGTTTGGAACTTCCTTTGCATTGGGGTCTGTGTATTTGCTCGTTAGGTACTTTAGTCTATTGTTAACATAACCACCAACACCCAACAATTTACTCTGAAAAAGTGAATAATTTTTCAAAAGTTCAAAATATACAAATTCGGGAAAAGTTACCAGAGCATTGGCGCTATCCTTTGACTTTAAACCGATAAATAATTTGATGGCCGCCTCACACGTAATTGATTTTTGTTGTTTTGAAATTTTATTTGGATCACCATTTCCAAATGATTCAACCATAAAATCACATATACAGTTTATCACATATTTACGCACAGAATCATTTAAGAGTTCGTCATTTTTGTGTTTCAAATATTTGCTCATATTTTGACGACGAAAATAGTCTTCTAAAATCTGAGAATTAATAAAAATAGAGCATTTGTACATAATTTTACTCATTTCATTAATTACCGTTGGTGTAACAAGCTCAAAGTGCCCACGGCGTGTGTCACTAATTTCATATTCTACATTTATGTAGAACATACTTCCATTGTGAAATTTTTTTATTACGTCAGCAAGTAAATTTCTTGGGATTGCAAAGCCCAAATTGTCGGTTAAAATTAATCCGGAGTAAACATCGGCACCAAATTTTAGGCCAAAAACGTTTGCGACTAAAACAAATAAAGTAATGAAACGTAGTAGCCAATATATTTCACATGGTTTATTGTATTTTATCTTACCCTTTTCTGGAAATTTCGTGATGTTTAGTTCGGACTCTTTGAAGGGAACAAACAAACTTTTACTTTGACAAATTATGCGCAAAATGTATGTGTTTTCTTCCTCCATTTCAATAAAAAATCTTTTATTGAGATACTTGGAGTTTTTCCGAAATTGATTCCATCACGACTGCGTTGACAGCTAATTCGACGTTGACATCTGGTTTTATAACTGTCAGTGTACTCTTCAACAATTCTTCTTGAAGCATATCCCTCTATCGTTATTTAGTAATACTAATTCAACAACTTAATTTTACGTAATATTATTTAATTCAATCTAATTTCAAATAATTCTTACATAAAACTGAATTAATAATAAGAAAAAAGAAATAATTTATTTGGAATTACAGGAAATTAATTACAATTAGTAACTAATACAATTAAATTATTATTAATTGCAACATATTTTTGTCACAAAATTCGTTTTAAACATTTTGTGACAAAAATACGTTGCATACAATTTTATATGTTGATTAATTTTAATAATTTAATTGTATTAGTTACTTATTGTCAATAATTTCCTGTAATTCCAAATAAATTATTTCTTTTTTCTTATTAATAATTCAGTTTTATCTAAAAATTATTTGAAATTAGATTGAATTAAATTTTATTACGTAAAATTCAGTTGCCAAATTAGTATTTCTAAATAACGATAGAGGGATATGCTTCAAGAAGATTTGTTGAACAGTATTACGCTGTGTGTGAAACATAAACAATCTTCTAACTTTACATAGATTTGTGCATTTTTTGCACAATTCTAAATGATTCTAAACAACAGAAAATGGATCTATTTCAAACAAATAACACTTTTTGGGATGTTCTAGAATCTGATTTCTGTGCTATACCCAAATATATCAAAAATATTCTAACGTAAGTATGAGCATGTAATAAATTATTCGATATTATGTTTTAATTATATATAATGTGTAACAAAAGGTTTTGCAATTTTGGAAATGTGCTATCTCTTCAAAAATTTGAGAACGATGATATCATCAAAATCGAGCAAATAGCCAAAAATCAATTTAAAAACTGGCTTGATGAACACGAGATCACAACAAATTTAATTGATTTCTTCGGCCCGATTTATTATTCGAAACCAGACCAATTCACCTTCACTTGTGGCGATATAAAAATGATACAGCAAATTTCGGAATGTGTTCGATCAACAGTTCAAAAGAAAGGTTATGGATATTTGAAGGGGGAAATAAGCCCAAGTCCGCAAAACGTTGAACGAAATGAAAGCAATGGTGAGGAAGAATTACAAGAACAACTTTTTAATGGTATATTAAATTTGTTGCAACCATATGGTGAATGCGTGACGTCGCTTTTCAAAAAGGATATGGTTATTGTTGGAAATCAGAATGGAGTTATAAATGGACGTGTTCGTTGTATTATATGCGACACCGAATCCGAAACTGGGAAAAAGAGCAAAAAAAGGCGACAAGAGCTTTATTCGCAATATTGGAATGGTCATAAGTGGTTGCTTTCAAACTTTGCCTACCATCACTTACAAAAGATACATCCAATTGAAAAAGATACAAACCAAGGACCAAAAGACAAAGTTGTTTGTGTTGCTGAAGATACGATGCAGACAAGACAAATCGGTGATGATTTTGAAAACAGTTCCAGTGAAACGAATTCAATTGACAATGGTATGTGACAATTGAAAAAAAATTGCTGTAGGAAACAGATACAAATTCTTATTTCGTTCTCAATCTAGACAGCGAAATGGAACAGACGTTAATTGAATTAGATATTGAACCATTGAAAACAGATGACGAATTTAATGTTCAGCTTCATAAACTACGAGCGCAATTACAGTTCCATAACATTCGAATGAGTAATAATGCATTTCAAAACAAAGAGATGGCATCTGAATGTGAAATTCAATTGAGCGCTGGAAAGTTTTCAACAATTGAACTATGCAAAATTCCCAAGGATGGAAATTGTCTTTTTGGAGCAACTGTGCATCAACGTTATCATTTCGAGGTTGATTCAGATGAATACAAGCAAGGAGTAGCTGAACTAAGAAAGGAAGTTGTTAGCCACATAAAAGCAAATTTGAAGCTATACGAGCGAAAATTATTAGGTCGTATTTATGAGGACAAAAAAGCAAAAAGTCAAAACGAGGAAGTAGGCTTGGAACATTTTCTTGATGAGTACTTATCTAAAGATCGCTATTGGGGTGGTTCGGAGAGTGTTCAAGCAATTAGTGAATTGTTCAAAGCAAATATAGTTGTTTTTAATGAATGGGGTGAGGTCAACTATGGTAATCATTTCGATTCATCATATGAAGATGTCATCACACTTGCTTTCCGTGTATCCAACCCAAATACCAAAAAGGAAAATGTGCCTAATAGTCAGCGTAATCACTATGACAGTATTGTTAAGCTTAACAATAATACCCTTTACGAATGTGCGTCAAGTTTAGCGATGAATCAAACAAAGTCATTTCAATTCCAAAGTATTTCTAGCGTCATCAATATCGAATAAAATACGACTGATAGTTTCATATATTTGTATTTCGGTTATTTTTTAATAAAAACTGATTTAAAAGCATCGTATTGGTGTAATTGATATTATTACTGTGTATTTTTCGTTATTTTCAAATTTGGAAATTTGACAGTTGAATATTATATTACTTAAAGGTTCGGCATACAAGTTTTCTCGAAGCATACCCCTCTATCATAGAGACTCTGTTTAAATTGCAGTTTCTGATTTCAATGTAGGTAATTTCAACGTAATTCTGAATAATTAAAAACATATTTTAATATAAGAAAAAAATTATGGTTGATTCAGCTAATACGTAATACAAGTTAATTCGATATAATTTCAAGTAAATAATTAATAATTTCGTACATTTTATACGAACATAATTTTATTTTGTTTTTTATTTTTTTTAATTATTCAGAATTAATTTGTATTACACTTATGTGTTGAACTGGAGTGAATTTAAAACTTCTTACATTCGTTGAAAAATTTAGAGTATCAAATAAAAGTGTAATAAATCACAGTTTTGAGCTAATAATTTCCAAAGCCCATCATTTATTTTTATACATAAATTGTCGAACTTAGAGAATTGAAACCTTAGATAATACTTATAACATCTCGAAATAACACTTCTTCTCAATCTTTCGTTTAATTAACTTTAATCAGCAAAGAGTATTTGATGTTTTTATCATTTTTAGTACAAAAAAGTGGCCAACGAAAAATAGTAAAAAAATTATATAACTATTGAACTTGAACATAAATGTTTAACATTGATCACCAGCTATTAGCTTTTTAATCAAAAATATTAAACTGATTTCCCAAAATTAACGTATCACAAATTACATAATAAGACTGGTTTAATTTTATTTTCTCGTATACGGTTTTATGTTTCAGGGTGTCAAAATCGATCAATATGTAACTCTGTTCTTCTGATTGTTTTATTTCAAAACTGTTATGGAATTCATCAAATTTCAAAACCTCATACTGAGTGCACAAGAAACAATAATTGTCGTTTACTTTGAAAATTTTACAAATTTCATTGAATGTACCATTATGAAAAATAAATAAGTGGTCTGTGTAATATTGGTTGCAATATTTCATAAATTGCACTACCATTAAATTTTGAGTCAGAACATTATGTTCTTTAAACAATTCCAAATACGACTCAAAGTAAATATTTGGTAAACATTTTGGTACACCAGACTCAATTTTGATTATGTAGCTGTTTGTGATTGCAGAAAAATACTCCTGATGTTTTCTAGCGATCGTTTGTGTAATATTCGTGAAATTAGAATTATTTTTCATGAAGGATTTGAGTTGTTTATGTTTGCGTTCGAAACGATGCATACTCATGTTTACAAGGGGTCCCATTTCTTCGATAACTCTTGGATAATGAATGAGAAAATGATGTTTCGGTATTAGCTGAAGACGTAGTCGTTGTAGAATATTCAAATGAATTTCAATTTCTTTGCGTAAGGAATCTACATTTTTTTGAAGTATTTCTCTTGAGTAACAAATAACGACAATACGTAATAAACTTTGAATACATTGCCAAAAATCTTCCAAATATACATTATTCCGATGTTTCCAAAAAATGAATGAAATATGTTGAAGTAAACATTTGCTTTGTGCTGCGTTTTGATTCAAATTTGATTTTTCAAGAGAAATTTTCGAAGGAACATTTTTTTGATTTAAAGAACCGTAATCAAAGTTCTGAACCCAGTCGTTGAGATTTTCGATCGAATATACACCTATTTCAATCATTTTTGAGAAAAATCCTTTTAATATAAATGTAATAACACCTTCGTTCAGATCATGCATGATATCCACCGACCAATTTTTCAGAATGTGGAAATACTTTAATTCGTTCAATACGCATTTCTTTTTCACTCCATGGGTTTCTTTGAGATCTACATTAATAGAATTTATTATGTGCTGTATAGTCTGATTGTATGTATCTATTTTGCGAATTTTCGATGGGTCCTCGCTACTTTTTGACTTACATTCTGATTTAGACATTTCACAAATTCGACAAAAATATGTTGAATTGAATGATTCCGAAAAGCCAAATGCTTGATTTGCACCAAGGTTGTCAAATGATGTATTTGTTAGAGTTCCTTTTATGATTCTTCCATCCCCAATATCGATTCCATGAATTTCCAAATTATTGATGTCGCGTTGAATCAAACGCCAAATGTCATTTATATCAGTATATTGAGTTTTTAAATCGTCGGTGTAACAAAGACATAATAAATATATGTTTTCAAGTTTTGATCGGTAGATTGGGGGCATATTTTCTATTGTGAAATAAAATGCTGACAACTTATGAACAGTTGCTTTTGACCCCAATGGATTTCCTGTTTCGAAATCATCGTTTGCTATATTAATTCTAATAGCAGATGGATTTGATTGAAAAAAATCATTTTGTGCGAATACTCGTCCACAGCAAAAGTCTCTGTAATTTCCCCTAACACAAGAATGAAAATCATTACTTTGCATATCAAAATTATGTCTCATGTATGCTTCTCTGAAATCCTCACGTTTGAATAATGATTCAAGTGTATCAACAATTGAAACATATTGGAATTTGCATGGTGTTAATTTCGGAACGGATATTTTCGATGTTTTATCACGCACCTTTTCCCATTTCACACCAAGTGATAATTCTTTTGGTTGAACAAACAATTGATTGCTTTTGTATTTTTTCGTCCGCTTATATGCCGTTGAATATTCCTCAAATTTATCACAAATGAAATGAGTCGTGGCATCAATCACTTGAATTGGGTCAGTACGCAAATCTGCACTCAATAATGTTTTGTTTAAACAGAGAGTGTTCATCACTAGGTCTTTACAAATCCGATAGATTTCATCGTTAGTTTTGTTATTCAAATGCAGTTTGGAAACTCGGGTTGAGAACGATGAAAAAAAAAGATTGAAATCCGCAATGGCTGTAGAATTTTCCGTCTTAGCACAGTCAATTTTATTGTCGATATCTGCACAAAATGGACCTTCTGCTGCTTCACATTCCGACAACGAATAAAAATTTGACACATCAACCTGGTAATTTACGCATTCTTCTTGAGTGGAAATCTGCAGAGTTCACAAAAACAAAAGATAATAATAATATGTATGAGATACAACTAAAAAAGATATTTGTTTACCTGCTGTTCACAACTCAATAAGTTTAAATTGTCACATAAATTATCAACATCTTGAGAAACATCCACAGAACCATCGATCATATTTTCATTAAAATTCTATTTATTGGAAAATTAACAATCACAAAATATAAAAAAAAAATGAATAGAAAAAACATTTTTTTTTACCATTTCACCCATTTTATTGTCATCCGAATGACATTTATTCAAATGTTTTCGTAAACCATCAAAAGTGAGAAAAGTGCGTGAACAGACATGCGCCCCAAAATTTTTCACACATTTTATTTTCATCACTTTTTCTTTCACTTTATGTACTTTTTTCAAATGATCTATAACATTTTTCGTTTCATTGAATTTTTCATCACATTCGTAACATTTATAGATAAACATGTTGTATTTAATATTAGAAACACTTTAGGAGAAAGGTTAAGTGACAACGTTGTTTAAAAATGTTGTATGGCAATCTTTGTATACGAATCGTGGATAAGTATGAAGTTAGTTAGGGATAAAATTTGTCCCAAAAATGGTTGTAGTCTCAAATTATCCAATACAAAGACAAAAATTCAACAGATCTGTCATCAGTGTAGATTTGGTTTTTCCAATGCAAAGTCGGTTTTTTGTTACCCAAAGTTAAAAAAAATGTCTGTCTATAGACTAGAATTCTTACTTTTCCATCCACAAATTCGTCTTAATTAACAACCATGATCGATTATTATTGGAATTTAGTCAATTATGGTACTATTTTTCCACAAGGGATTTCATTCGTCGTTCGGTGCAATTTTTCTGTCGCTTTTTGCTGTTAACCAACTTCTTTATGTTATTATTTTGCACATGCATCATAAATGTCGAAATATGAATAAACTGTTATAGGGGCGCACTAGACAGGACCAACGATCAAAATGGTGTAGTGTTAAAAGTTTTGGCTCGATGGTAACGATGCAATGGGATCGACCACAGGAAAATGAAATAAAATCAAAAAACATCTGAACAAAGGCAAAGCAATTATTTTCAATGTGAATATTTTAACTCTCACAATGCACCATTTCCAAAATGAAAGATGGCGGGAAATGGAAATAACTTTTAATATTGTGACAATTGTACTCCAAAAACTGTGCAATCATTGACAGATTCATTATGTATGTAAGTAGAAAATATGCAAAAATATGAACGGCATTCAAATATTTGGTTTTGTTGTTGATGCTGATTTACATTCGGTAGCCTCCTGTTTCGACTTTGATCTGAATACGGTGGAATATTTGCATTTGTTGGAAATCACTAATAACTATTGACAAAGTTAAAATGGAAACCAAACAAAACATTTAGATTGATAAATTTGCGTCTCCCTCCAAAGGTCTTTGTGAAAGATTTCAGATCAATTTTAATAGCAATTATTTTATTTTATTGTTTTCGTCAATATTTGGGTGATTTTTCTGTCCCCATACTAAAAATCAAAGTGGACCAAACAATTTCATTAACATTTCTACAATTTTCCAACACATCCAATTTTCAATTACCACAAAATAACACAAATGATTTGTATTTTAACATTCTCTTCATTTAAACACTTACTGACTGTTGAACTAATGAGTTCGTTAATAGCAGCTCAACAAAATTGTTTTTCTTTGTTAAAGTCGATGAGATAGAAAATAAAACTCCTGCCCATCAATGAGAATTCACGATTTGTGATCCGTGTAATTGAAATCATTTTTCAGTAAGCTAATGTGCTGGCATACAACCGCAGCATACCAAGGTACATTTCACCAGGCGAAATACTCCAAACGAGTGAATATTTTCAGTAGTGTACACACAGTACACACGAACCGGTACCGTAAACATTGGGTTTGAAAAAAAAAAAAAAAATGTTGGACCAGCGGATATGTGAACGACTATGATACACGCCTGAATTATATAGACTTTTACGGGATAGAAAATCGTTGGTTGAAAATGTGAATAAGTAAACATTGTTGTTGGGTCTTTTGTTATGTAACTGCATCACTTAATGGTGTATCAAAAATGTGAATCGGACACAATTCAAACATTTGATGCATGTGCTGGTGTATGCAGTAAGCTATATGGTCTCTGTGTCTCGTTTCTCGTGTATTTGTTGGGCTTTGTACAGTCGTGAATGGCCATTAAACGCAAATGCATTTCATTATGGAAGTATTTAGAACGCGAAATGTCGATCGCAACATTTTCAAAAACGAATAAAAACAAACAAAATCCAATATTTGTTTGTTGAACGCAGAGATTGGCATAGAAATAGACGTGCATTGTTTTCCAGCGCAAAGAAGAAAATAGGCGAATAGGCGATTCGCGTGCCAGAATTGCTGTTGTTGTTTTTTCATGTGCAGTTTTTGCCTATCTCTTTCGATCATTGCACGTAAAATTGTGTGCATGCCAGCTCGGCAGGCACACTCATTCACACTATTGATTCCAATTCGTTAGTTTATCAGATTTCAGAGTCTGCGTGTATAGAAAGAAGAGTTTGCATCGTTTGCTGTACTCACGTCATTTTTGCACTGTCGCTCAGCTGCCAAATTTCCAAATTGCTTGATTTGATAGCTTCAGCCTGAGCAAATTGGTTTCCACATAAGCTCTACAAATTGATATAACTGTTGGAGTATAACCACTTGATATTTTCGATTGCCATCTCTCGCTCCCCTCTCATCTCCATCTCTATTTTAGCCCAAGTGAACACTGAGCTTTAACAAAATCGAACGATCTGACCATCGATACATTCAGATCATTTCTTTTGAGACGATGAGTCGAATTTTTGGCACTCGTTATTCAATTGCGGATGCTCTAATTCATTAGTAGATGCTTTTCCAGTTGCTGTATTGGCTGCACGTTTGCAATTGCTCAAAAATGAGCAAATAACTGAGCGATTGATTTGAAGCCAATCCCGTCGGGTTCAGAAGCTTTTACTTCACACACACACCCGAACACACAAAAAAAAGAAGTGAAGTTACAAACGATGAAATCCTTATTGACCGACAAGTATCGTTTTTGTATATGTTCGCTTATATCTTTAGTGCTTGAGTACATGTGCATGTGAATGTGACCGGAAGGGTATGTGTATATTTTTGTGAAAGCATTTCACTCATTTCAGCTTTGCGATCGAATAAAAAGCCATATCAATCAATTCGTTGGTCCGGAAAATTTTTAGAATTCAGTTGCAAGAATGTTTATAGCCAATTTATCGCATCAAATTCTTTTGAAAATTGTTTGCTAATGCATGTTTCTCTGTTTTTTGTTGTCTTTTTCTCTCTCTATCCTTGTTGTTTGTTACAGAGTCCCGTTCAGAATACGTTCCAAAATCAAATGACAACATGTACACTGCCTCGCCAGCATCCTGGACAAATGGGAGCACATCACTGGACATCGTATGGCGGAACAATTGCTAGTAGTGTTCGGCAAATACCACAAGTTCAAATAAGCAGTTTACAAACAGCACCACCGCCACCATCGCAAATTGCAATGCATCATTTGAATTCGAGAGCGGCAAGACATTGTATACCGGCTACTTTAGTCGATGAGGAAGTGACGGTAGAAACACCCTTAATGGTAAAGCGTGAAAGTACGGTATGACTATAGGAAACGCACAGAGTCGGTGATACGGCTCTGTGAACACATTTTTTATTCCAATTCATCATATAAATGCAATTATACATGTATACATATACAAAACATACACACACACAAATGGACAACATAAACACAAATTCATACACACATCGATACGATAATTAAAATGTTAGCACACAAAACAAACAACAAAAAAAACAACAAACCAACCGGAAACATACACACGAACAAATTTCAATCCAATAATCTTTTTGACGTTCTCTGTCTGTTCTCTATATTAATACCGTAAATATTATTGAATCATAGTAACAATTTAATAACAAAAAACAAAAATCAAATGAAAATTAACAGCAAAAGCTCAAACACATTTAATACGAATAAAATACCATTGTTGTAATTTGAATTCATTTTGATAAATATATCGGTATGCACTTTGTGGTGCCAACAATTAAAAAATCAAACTAAAACAAAACAAAACAACGTGCACCGGCCGGCAAAGAGCGATAACATTTCGCCGCAACAATGCCAATATTTTGTGACATCAAGCGGGTTTATTGTCGGTAAGCATTCGTTTGATGAATGCGCTAAATTACTATACATGCATTATTTTTATTGTAACAAACGTTTTGTTTTTTTTTAAATATAAAATACAAAGTTTATTACATGACGCTCCAAAATATTTTACATTCTACAAAGGAATGTGCACAAAATTTCATTGACAAATGAAATATAACGAAAACAAAAACTCTGTTGATGATATCAATGTGATTTCTAATGAATTAAATTTAAAAAAAAATACATAAAAGAGAAAATAATTTTACAAGTCTTGATTTAAATTTTTCAGCAACTGCTTTTTCAGTTGCAATATAGTTAGTATTTATAGCGAGTTATAAAGAATATGGAATTTGATTATAAAAAAAAAACACATCTCCCGAATCAAAAAGAAGAAGAAGAAGAAGTAAATGGTCTACTTATTAATCGAATTAAGATGGTCGATATTGTAAATGTGAAATAAAATTAAATGTGCAAACCAGGCGACAATGAATTGAATTCGTCAAATCAAATTATAAATTGTTGTTCAATGCCTTTTTTGAGCGCGCGCTAGCGGAATTAAAGCTAATCTACATAAAGTATAAACTTAAACTTAAGCAACACACAAAAAGCGGCAACACATAACATTCAAACTTTTTGATGACTTCATCGTGAGAGAGAAAGAAGAAATGCAAGGCTTTCTGAATACTTTTATTTCTGTGTATGGCAATCCAATGAGAATAAGAATCAGGCATTTCAAGCTTCGTTTTTTTTTTAAATGAAAAGTTTATTCTATCACATTTATAATGGCAGAGGTAGACGAGAATCGAAATGAAAAGACGTCACAAGCGATTTTCGCTGCATAAGCGATACACCAAGGAAGAAACTTCAATCGAACAATACACTCTTCGACTGTTGTCATTCATTATTGTTTGAATGTACAAGAAAAATAAGAAAGAAAGTCATGCAGAAAAATCCAGAAAAAGTCCCGGCAATGTTAAAATTTTATTATTTGATTGAATGTATTACGTTTTACTTTTTCAAATCATCTTTTCGGTCGATTTTAATTCTCTTTTTTTTTCTCTTGTGTACAATACTTGAACTGCAATTGGTTTCATTTCTTGAAAAGAGAACCCATTTGCAAGTGCTCTTTCATTCTATTTACTGCATTGGAAAAAAATTTACAATACGAAAAAAAAGAGTTTGGAACAAACGATTACGGAAAACTTACATTTGCCGTTGTGTAATTGATAGCATTTTATGTCTTCGAAAATTGTTTACACAGTTTTTTTTATTTCATTTATCCGTGCATTCAACGCACTAAGTCATTTCACACGACACAACAAACGAAACATTTCTTTTCATTTGATGTAAATCAAAATCTAAAGTCGATTTAAGACATTGTTCAATGCTGACTTTATTTGGCTAATATCAGCTGCTGACGATATGTTAAGCTAATCAAAATTGCTGAAAAAAGAACATTTTTGTTTTCATATGTCAACATTTACATTTTTGCACCACGAATCCAGAATTGCTTCAGAAATGCTCGATTAAGTAACGAACAGCTAAGAATGGAAGATACAGTGACAGCGTATTGGCTAAAAAACATAATTTAGCTCAGTTTGGTGCAATATCTGTAACAAAGCGCAGCGAATGCATTTCAAATACAACTTATGAGAATGTTTCTTATCTTTTATTCTGTTTTATTCGATGATTCGCCTCTGTCTCTTCTTTCTCATAATTTTGCCAGAAATTTGTTGTCTCCAAAATGAATAAAAAAAAACGTGAACGAAAATGAATGCCGATACATAAAAAATATAAACCAGAGGCTGCATGTTAACGCAATGTCATTTGACTGGGAATGCCATTTAACGAAACACGATGACGCTCAATGTCATTTTGTATTTCACATACCTACGTGTTGTTAGCAATAAATGGTATTTAAACACACCAACGAAAAGAGAAAAAAAACATGTACAGCGCTCTGGCAAGTCATATTGAAATATTATTGTAAATATGATTGGTTTGAACAATCGTTATCTCAAGTAGATATCTGTATATGTACGATATAAACACTTAAAGTTAAAAAAAAAGAACCCCATTTGAAATTAGGGGTTTAACTCAAAAAACCTAACATTGAATTTAACATTGAAATGAAACGCTACAAAGAAACAAAATGAAAAAAAAATCTAATTTACTAAGTCAAAACTAAAGAAAAGAAATACATAAATATACTAAGGGATTAAAAAAAATCTAACTGAATTTCTTCAAAATACATAAAATAATACCATTTATATACTTCAAAAAGACCCAAATATTTGCGATTATTAATTCAATATCAACTTACGACAAACGATACTCAATCAAAAGAAAAACCAACAACAAAACAATTTGTATGTAATTTTGTATTATAAAGAATTTTAGGTGAAATTTATTCAAGACAGATACATTTTTTCGACTTACATGTCCATTCCATCGTTTTTAAACGTTTTTGGTTTGTTTTGCACATCGGGGTTGCTTCGAAAGTGTAATTCTTGGGAGAGAATATTGCAGTTGCATTTTGCCAAATAGATTGCAGGCACATAAAGAAATAACTTTTGCATCGGGCATAAGACGAAGAAAATCGTGTGTCGTTTTTTATTGTCGATCAACTATCTCGAAAGCAATTTTCTTCAAATTATGCAATGCATAGACCAACTCATGAATAAATTAAAGAACAGAAAATTCGATTGAATTTTTGATAATACCACATACGGAGCCACTTAATATTTCAATATTGCACAACATAACAATGTGCCAAAACAGGTACGACAATCGATACATTTTGTAATCTGCTGTAATCCTATAACATGCTGAATTCAATCAGTTTTGCCAAAAACTATTTAATTTGCAAGAAATGATTATACACCTATGCAACATAAATGCGAAGATAAAAATATGACGACAACAACAAAAAAACTTTTGAAGCAACCTTTGTATTTAAAATACGTGTAGTGCTGACCGGTCGATTGGTAAACAAAACACAAACAAATTTATTACGTAACATTGAACGAAGGCAGCTAAATATGGTAGCGAATTCGATTAAAAGATTCAGCGAATTGTGAACAAGATATGAAGATAGATAGAAACGGAGAATGAGTGATTGCAGTGCTTGTGTGTGTGTGTATTCGAAGAGCATGACAAAAGGTATGCTTGGGTATTCACAAGGAGGATATTTCGGTCAATTGACATTATGTCGATAGAAGTGAAGAAAAAAGAACGAAGAAAAAGAAAACGAAACGAAAATTGAGAAAGAGCGTGTGTGCGGAATGAAAGTGGAAAATATAAGTGAAATAGAGAGAAGAGCTAAGTGAAGAGATTTTTGCATCGAATAATTTCTATTGATCCCAAAACTGCTGCGTTGTTCACACAAACATAATGTTTGCATGTGTTCTTCTTTTGTCGTCCAACATTGAAGAACTTTTTCTATAAATCTTAAAATTTTGTACGGAAACTTCTTCAAAAAGTTTTGAACGGTATTTTAGTGAACGAAAGAATAAAACAAAATGGACCAACGACAGAAACATTGAGGAAAAGAGACAGAGGGGGGACAAGCTAAAAAGGGGAAATAACCCAAAGTATGAAACAAGAGTGGAATAAAAAAAAAGTACGGAACATTTGAAGACCAATACCATACATATACATATACTACGTGTGTAATATTCACGTAGATATATATTATATGTATATGTACAGAACGAAAATCCTATAATGAAAATTTATACGAAACGAAGTTTTTGAATGAGAATATGTGTTGCCCAGTAGCTGTATCAGCCCCATCTCTCGAAAAAGTCTCTCTTCATCTCCGGCACTCTTCAGTTTTGAGATAATGGAAGCCATTTCATCCAGCCACACGAATACAAACTAGTGACGTAACTGTAATGCCTAACAATAAACTTGTTGAAAAGACACCGAAAGCAGAATCGAAAGAGAGTTTAAAAGTGTATAAAGCTAAAATGAAGAAACGAAGCGAAAAATCCAACGAATATGCATGAAAGAGAAAGAGAGTAATGCTCTCTGAAAATATATGATTAATTTTTTTTTCCTTCTCATTTTATGTGCATGCATAATGACTCAAATACATTACATACTTCTATACATTGAGATGTGTGTGTGTGTGTGTGTGCAGAACAGCAGAGTGCAAAGGCTTTTATGTTGAAATGCATAGAAATTGAAATTGGATACACGACGCATGCACAAGTAGTCGCTGCTACTATTGACGATGGAACCGAGAAAGTGCAATCATTATACTAAAAATTCGTCTTTCAAATTAAAATTAATCTATATGCAGATGAATAGTGTAGCAAAAAAAAAACTTGGGTGACTATACATATAAACACAGTCAAAGTTATTGAGCGTATAATCTCTCGTCGGACAAAGAAAAGAAAAACAAAATATATAATATTAAGAACAGGAATGATGCGCGTCATCTCTTTGGCACAAAACACACACAATCTCAAATCTCTCATTGACACACTCAATTGATCAGTCAGTTTCTATCTAACAACAATTTAGATAAATTTTGTGGACAGAGAAAATTGCAATTTCAACCAATTCGAGCAAAACTGATGCAAATCGAAAAATTGAAAACATTTTGAATTACAATGCACCAAGAGACAAAGGAAAAACAAATTCATTCACTCACACATATATACAAGCATTTACAATCATTTCAATACATATGTCATCTACTATTTAGATAAATTTTATTTAAATTCCAATTGGGACATTTCTCTCAATAGAAAGTGAGCGATAAAATGAAACATTTCCCAAATAAGTAATCAAAGAAAGTTGTAAGAAAGACGAAAATGGACGGCGGCGAATTCAAATGAAAGATCTAGCGAATTCTGACATACACACACCCATATGCATACCATTTACATGAATCAAACAGTGAATCTTTTAATTGAATTCGCCGCACAAACAAAAATGCTGAAGGCACATGAATCTAACTTAAGTATAGTATATATAAATAAACGAATAAAATTATTCGGAGAAGTAAATTAGGATTCCAACAAAGCAAACAAAGAAAAAAAAAAATAAAATAAAATAAAAATAAAAAACATTCACTTCAAATGGAAAACAGCGAGTATATATG